TCTGGGACATCAGCCCGCTTGCCCCTCCGCGGGGCCCAAGTGGAAAAGAAAATACTGAGTGCACAGTCGGTGCCCAGCTTGACAAAATACAGGCAGAAAATGCGTTTCTTCTAATATCTGGGCTTTTATTACAAGTAATGTTGCAGGAAAAGTGTCAGCTGTGTAGAAACACATGAGTACGTGAAATTCAGCTATTTATATTGACTCAGAGAAGAAGGGGAAGCGGGTGGCTGGAGGTGAAGAGCTGATACGGGGGACAGCAAATGGTGGTGCGTGAGGTTGGGGTGGAGGGTTCCATACCATTTGGCTGCCTTGGGGTGTTTCACCATGCCAGCTGCCCAGTACCAAACTTGTGAGACCCCATCTTCCCCCCTGAGTTTCCCTTCTGTCATTGCAGAGAAGTCACTTTTTGGGACATCGGCTGCAAGGCAAATATGACATAATAGTCATTGGAGTTAGCAGGTCACCATCACAGGTCCCTCCTCACAGGCAAAGCAAGAGCCTTGGCTGTCCCCCAGTTCCCCATGTTCATGCTTGCAGGGATCTGAAAACCAACTCACAAACTGAAATTTTTAGGATCAGTGTGCCAAAACCAAAGTCCCAGCAGGTGGCAGACAGGGGAGCTTGGCATTCGGCGTTTCTGACAGATCCAGACATCCCCGTCACAATGGATTACTGGAACTACTACATCAACAACATCCTGGCTGACAGGAACATTGATGATGTGGCTATCGTGGGCTTCTGTGACAACAAGTGCGTGTGGGCGGCCAAACCAGGAGGGCTCCTTGCAGCCATCTCACCTCAAGAAGTGGACTTGATCACAGGCCAGGATCAGAAAATGTTCTTGCTAACAGGAATCACTGTAGCTGGGAAGAAGTGCAGTGTGATTTGTGATAACCTGCTGGTGGATAAAGACAATGTGATGGATGTCAGAATCAAAGGCAACAACAGCAGATTTGTTTGTATTGGCAAGAGCTCCTCTGCCCTGGTCTTCCTCATGGGCAAGAAGGGAGTCCACAGAGGAGCCCTCAACCAGAAGGTCCACAATATGATTGATAACATGAAAGTATGAAGCCAAACAGACATCTTCTGCCTGAACACTGGCTCACAGTCATTGCCTGTGGGGGACCTCAGCTGGACTAAGGCCTTTGGACAAAGTGACTTTGACCTTGAGAAGATTCCAGTCTACCCTTGAGAGAATAAACAGGAACAAGAAGAGCCGCAAGGTGAACAAGTTTGTCGAAAGTGCTGACAGCAGACTGAGGTGTATGTGTTCCTTTGTCGGAAGTGCTGAGTTGTGATGAACTGTAAACATAGTAACTCTGAACCAATGAGAAGAAGACACATCTGGAGAGAGTATAAATAGATGAGGAAGAAAAACTAAAAAAAAAAAAAGCTTTTTGTGCTACGCCAACACTTGTTGTCTTGTCGCTTTGTCCGTCCCGACCGTGACAATTGCTGTAGCAGAGAAGGGAAATAAACCTGGTTTTATTGCATATGTCTTTGCCTGCTTCTTTCACGTGGGAGGGTTGCTGAGCAGGCAGCAGTGCTGGGATGTGCACAGTCTACCTAATCAACTGTGGTGCAGAAGGGAGTAACATGTACATTCCTCATCTGGATGCTTGGTATTACTTGCATGGTCTCCCAGCCATCTTGGGTAGTTGCTCCCTGTTACTTTCATTTGACTGACTGATTTTGAGGTGAAGGTCTCCAATAATATTGGCTTTGGGAAAGGGCAGGAGGGAGGGCAATTCCTTTGCCTTCTTGCTCACTACTTTGTTGTTTAAATCATGCCCTAATGCCAGTCCTGGTTTTTGAGGCCTTTCTCCTTCCACAAGTAGGCCACAGCAGTAAGGATAAGCAGGACTTGTGTTTGTTTTGAATTTGACCCTGGAACAAGCACAGCTCATTCTGGAGCTACCCTATTGACCAGCAGAGCCTTGTGCTGCTGTTGGACTGTGTGCAAGGTATGTGCAGAGGTAGTCTGCCACCTGCTCACTTTCCACGTCATTTGAAACTCCTTCTTATGCTACTTTACTGAGAAAATTGGGGGTTTTTACAAGGTAAGTCACCTGTCTTGTGTCTGTGGCGTGGAGATCATCTTTGCACTCTGCTCAGTCACGCTGTCTGTCTTCAAGATCACAGGTCTCTGTAAGCTTCCCAGGACACCCAGGAGGACACGGAGCTGTGCTGAGCACTGCAGTTTTCCTCCTCCATTCACCAGTACAGCACTCCCCTCCTGCTCCCACTTGTAACCCTAAATGGCCAGCCTGAAATGAGGCAGAACTGGTGCACTTCAGATGGGACTATTCAAGGGGTATCCCTGGCAGGGCCGAAATCCTCATGCATGGTCTTTCCTTGCTCCATTGCTCCTGGCAGCTGCCTGGCAGTGAGCCTGAATCAGGCTGTTAATCATCTCATTTAACAGGGAGTCAATATTTTGTAATTTAATTGAATTTACACAGAGATCTTTAATCTGCAACCGCACTCACAGGAGCAGAAGAACACTGTAAGGGGAACCAGACATCTAATGTATTGGCAACTCTTCAACAAAACTGCAGTGACTGACTGATTAGTAGGCACTGTCTGATAAGCAGTGCTTACAAGCATGAATCAAAACAATTCAATGTAAGTACTAAAGGGAAAAAACGCAAACTGGTTTTAGAATCTAATAAAAGCAATGCATCAAATGAAATAAATAAATTACAAAAATATATTAATATTTATGCTGGCCACAGGTTTTTCAAAAAGCATGGGCATTCTTAATGAACATTGCTGCTTAGTTTCACAAGTGTAAAGCAAACATGAGTAAGCTATCTTCTGCGATTTCTTGAGCGCTGGTAGTACTCTCTGCTGTGCAAATCACAAAATGCATAAAGCTTTCACCTTCTGGACTTAGTCTATGAGGCATCAAAATGACAGGATTTGGAATAGGTGAAAATAATTTTGGATTATTTATTGCTTGCTCACTTCTTCAGGGTGCCAGAAAAAAAACAGGTTTGGAGTGTACATATGTACTTTACCAGAATGAGAATTTGGAGAAGTATGGACCTATATAGTGTGATGGTGGTGTCAATAGCTACAGCTTCTCTTTATTTATACATTATGGGCAGTGCAAGGGTGTACAAACTCATATTCTTGTGGTTTGAAGAATTTGTTAACTAAATTAAGAAATAACTAGCCTTTGCTAATGATTGCATATTAATTTAAAGAAAAAAATTCCTTCTAAATTCAAGAAAGACCTTAAACTTTCATTCCCTAAATCCACCAGCCTGGAGCCTAAGGAGATTTTGTTCAAACTAGCCCTGAAAAGCAGCTGTTACATTCAGCCCTGACTCTTCTTGGAGACTATGGCATGAAGAAGCTTAAAGAGGAGTAACAGAAGGCAGCAGCACGTGCATAATCTCTCCTCTCCTGCTGTGACACAAGGAACATGCAATTAGAAATAGCTGCAGAGAGCATGGTTGTGGCTTCACGTTTCAGGTCTAAGACTGCAGCCTTTGAGAAAAGCCCTCTTCACTCATACACCCGGCATCTCTCAAAAAGCCTCCAGTAAACAGCTTGACCACCAGGTTTGTTTAATCCTCCATCACAGGCACGCCTGTGCTTACCCAGGAGCCACCAACTCCTTCTGCTATAAAGCAAGGTCTGTAGAACCATTCAGACAAAAATGTAGGTACTGATTTTGTTACAATCCAAACACAGCCACTTGTGCAACAGGACTGTATATGCCATAACCAGAGCGGGTGCAGTAAACCTGCACTTAAAAGGGAATGACCAATTTTTCAATTGCTTATAACTTCATCAAACTTCAGGACAGTTGTGCTGAAATTCACCGCACCAGGTTCTTGCCTCAGGCTTCTCAAAATGTGTCTGATCAGATGAAGGATTTGCAGTGTCAATCTCACAGCAAACTGGTGCTGAGCACTCTCAGCCATGAAAGTGGGCAATGCTGGTGTATCTTGAAAAAGCATGGTGTCAGCTGAGAAGCATCCACATGACAAATTTTCAGGTGGAACAAATTTTATGGAAAAAGTAACAACCTGTCTGCCTTCAGATGCAGTGGGCAATTGGAGATTGCTAGAGGCAAACCTAGACTCTAGTATCAGTGGCTCAATCAGAGGTCTAAGATGAACAGCAAGTAAAGAGTTGAAAAATTTTATTTGTTTCCACTAAAAAAAGATAAGAGACTGAGGAGCTTGTACCTACAAGCTTCAGTATATGCACAGTGATGTACTTTGGAAAGGCATAAAATACTGCACTGAGGAAAGGAGGGGATTTGGATAGACATTTAAAAAAATCCCAGTGACAAAGACAGCAAAATGCTGGTCTGGATTAGGTGACAGGGTGTTAGGATGAAGCTAAATGTAGACTGAACTCATCTCAGTGAAGGAATGGGCTTAAATGCCCACACCAGGGATGGAACAGTTATTTTTCCAGTAACTCTCTGATAATTCAGCAAAAGGCAGGGATGAGGGGATAGCACGGCTGAGTATGCAGTCATCTGATGCTGATTTCAACAAGATACGATAAAAATGGTATTACACCTACACACACACACAAAAATTACATCCTCCTTCCAAACTTAGAACAAACAATAAATTCAAAAGATTCCTTCACAGAGAGGAGGGGAGGATAAAAGCATTGCTGTTTCCTCTTAAAATCTTCAAGGAAATCAGAGTTCAGTGAGTCATGTACTAGAAATGAGCTCAGTGAAATTAATATAGGGAAATATCTTAGGCGAATAATTGGCAATGATAGAATTAAAAATAGAGTCATTAATGATAGATGATTTTTAATGGAGCCTGAGCAATGAGATAAAGGGATCGGGGTTTTTTTTTGTGAGGCTTTTCCTACACAGAGAATAATAAATACATAAAAACCAGACAAGTTGGTAGGCTACTTCATTCACTGTCCAGTCAATAGAGGAAGATAAATTGAACCTTGTCTTTTTCCTCCAGTCAAATGCTAAACTTCAGTGTCTCTAAATTCACTGGGACAATACAGAAATGGTTGTTCCAGGTAAATGTTCGGCCCAGTATTAACTAACGGAGGCTAATGACATTACAAGTTCTTCCCGTTTCTGTAAATGTGATTCTCCAGGTCAATATAACATCCATCAGCCAGCTTTAGGAGACTGAATAGTCAAGGTAGGGCTGCATGTCAGCTGAGAGAGCAGGTAAGGACCAAAGGAGAGGCTTTACTGGGGAGCAGTGCATTTATTCTGCTGCAGAAGGACTAACACACCTCTGCTGTGATGGATTAGCAGCCGTCACAGGGGAGGATGGGATTCACCAAGGACAGGAAGGTCCCCACCCTGGTTCAGGCACAGCTGAAAAAGTAGTCTGATGCTAGCTTGGTGTCCCAGGAAAGGAAGGAGCAACGTTTCCTTAATGACAGCAGAAACAGGGGAATACAAAAGGATGAGGGGGCAAGTACACACGGTGTGCTGGAGCTGGGGTCTAAGGCAACAAAAATAATGTTCCTATGGCTTTGTATTTGAAACATTTGCATACAGGAGGCTCGGGATTCAGCTGGATAGACAACACCGATACACGGAGACACACATCACACTGCTGCCACCTAATATCCTCAAGATGGGTCTGGACAAACCGGAGGCCAGCCTAGGGGAGGGCAGGAAATCCCTGCAGGAGATGAGGCAGAACAAGAAGGCAGGCTGACAGGGCTGGAAATCTGACTTTTTCCCAGGAGATGGCACTAAAGGACGATTGCCTTTCAGCCAGCATCGTGCAATGCAGCGGAAACTTTGCTGGGGGCCAAAAACTATTCCGCAGGCAGTTTACGGAGCCGTCTTTGCAAGTCTCTCCTTGTTATCAGAAGCAAACCTTTATTCTTAGCGTCTGTGCTCTTAGCAATGGTGAGGATATCTGTCTTTTACTCCATACAGCTGGTAAGTACCAGCTTTCTGCTTATGATGGCAGGATCCCACTCATACCCTGAGAGTCACCCAGGCTGTAAGGACCCCAGGCCGTCTCACCTTCAGCCTCTTGCTCACAGCAGGGGCAACACTGAATTTGCAGTGGGTTGCTCCGTGCTTTGTACAGCCATGCC